AGTTCACAAGTCGGACTGTTATAGCCAAAAATCCTGTTTATCGGAATTTTACCAAAAATAGCAAAATCCCGAAAATCACTCTAAATTGAAATTCAAAATAAAATAAACAATCTGCTAAAAATCCGACCAAAATCAGATTTAAAAAGACTTTCTAATTGACAATCGAAATATTACCATAAATAGTAAAAAATATCTAAATCTAGTGATTCGGAGGGAAAAATGGCAGAATTTGAGGGAGCATAGTTCAATGTGGACAGCGTGCGCGTCGAAAAGAGCTTTCCAGATTGAGATCTTATGCGCGATTCTGACACTCGTAGTCAAAGTTATGGCAAAAAGACTGAAGCACACTTAAAACGGCCCCAATGAGGAACATATCATAATCAATTCCCGCCTTTGCGCTGATCTGCCAACTCATGGTATCTCAACGCCATCAAGGTGCAATCTGACAGCTCAACATCATCTATCTCGGATCTCTTTATATAAGCTTCCTAATCTCACTCCAACTCTATTTAGTTCAACTTCAGAGTGTTAACATTTTTTCAGCTGGATTACATTACACCCTATATATGACATTCCTAAAAAAATGATTAAACCCCAAAATTATTCTAAATCGAAAACACTACTTTGCACAATCATTACCTCAAATATCCACAAATTCTAAACTCCAGGTTTCCTTTGCCGGTCAACTCCGTAACCGCATGTTCCCAAAAACATACAACAGAACCAGGGGAAAACAAAAGAGAAACAACACATGAAACAAGGAGAAAAAAAGAGGTACCAATTCTGTAAACTGGAAACATCCATGGAAATCAAGTTTTTCCCCCAAGTTAACTGTTGTTTGACTTGTTTCTGCAATTTGGCAGAACCAACAGCTGCAATTTGCAACGTATCTGGTAAAGATGGAATATATGAAAGGAAGACTCTTGACTTTGTGATAAGCGAAGTGACGTCTCAGCAACCACAATGGATTAGGAAATAATAAGATTTAGCAATTAGCCAGCCACCGTTAGCTCAAGTGCCATCTTTGCTTGCCATAATCGTACGTACGTATTTGTCTGTTAGCCTTTGGCGTACATGATTCTTTTTCTCTTTGTGGGGTCCATTTGGACCACTTCCAAGTTCCTATACGCTATACCTTTCACTCCCTCGGGCCGTCTTTTAAATTTGGGTTAATATAACTGTTTACCCTTTACTTTGATTTTAATATGCAGTTTTGGCCCCTGTTTTTAGCATTATGTTATATTTGACCTTTTGCTTTAATTTTCATCTATAATTTATCCCCTAGTTTTTTAAATATAATTTTTTCCTTAATAAAATATTATAATTTAAAATATAAATAATGACACTTTAGATCATTTTTAATCTATAAAAAGGTTTCTAATTATTATTTTAAAATACAAAAAAATAATTAGGAGAAAAATTGCATATCAAAGTTAAATTCAATGGTCAAATTGCATTTAAAAAAAGTTAGGAGAAAAATTGCAGCTCAATGCCAAAATTAGGAGCCAACTTACAACTGAAAGCTAAAATCAAAGGCCAGACTACAACAAAAATATTAAGATCAAAATCAAAATCAGGGGCCGAAAGGAACATTAACCTTTTAAACTTAAGTAAACTACTAGTTGACTTTAATAGTTTCTTTTAAAATAAATATATAAAAATACAAAAATAAGCACGAACCAAGTGACTTCAGTGGTAAAGGAATTGTTGTTATTCCTTGAAGACCCGGGTTTGTGAGCATTCAATGTCAAAGGGTTGAAATTTATCTTTGAGTTAATAGGAATGAAAGTTATCTTTAAACTGATATTATCTTGTCCTTATTTCATATTAATAAAAAAATATTTAATAAACTAAAGAAAATGAATAAGAGAATAGTTTAACTCCGGTTATCAAATTTTAAGTGTCAATATATCAAATAATTGTGCATATTAAAATTAATAAATAAAAATAAATTATTTTTATTATTAAAATTATAATTTTCTTAAAATATAACTGTTTTGTTCTACACGGACAGCAAATAGTGGTGTACATGAGTCGCTCATAGACATATGGCCAATATCATTTTGTTTCAAGATTTTGTATTATGATATCTATATGTTTCGTAATAAATTTAAAATAAAAATATATTTTCTACAATCATAAATATTTGATCTACTAATTAATTAGTTCAGATTAAATATTATAAAGATTCACTTTAAATGATTATTAAGTACTATAAAAATTTATGATTATTTTAATTAATTTATATGTTTAGTTATCCTTCCGGTTCTCAAGGCTTTGCCTTTATTAATCTGGATCGACCAGAGTCACACATCCGGCTTTGGTAGGTAAGTCTCCTAGCGGAATTTTCTATATATACATAGACTTAAACTCTAAACTTGCTTAAGCAACATTAAATTGTTTATCACTTGAATCAACTCCCGTTGGTACTATTTTAGTTTATTTATTCAATTCATAATATCATATTTTTTTTATAAATATGGAGTGAATATAAGATAATATATATTTAAAGATTTTCAGTCATTTGACAATAAACACTTATACGTTGACATACGAGATGTTTGAACATGAGCAATCAAGAGATAACAACTCTAAACTCAAATAATTTAAAATTTGAGTATTATTTAGAAGGCTCATCATCCCATCCAATTAGACCCATCAATCATTAATAAAATAAAAAATAATAATTACTAAATAATAATATATGTGAGATCTGTTAGCATATCCACGTTTGTGTGAGGATGAACATGTTCCCACTCTAATTTTTCTTATGATAATTATATATTTTTTATTGTGTTCTCAAAATTTTATTTATGCTCACACAACGTACAAAAACTTTATATTAATTAGGGATGTTCATTTTTTTGTTTTAACAGAATTAATTGATCGAATCGAATTAGTTTGGTTAATTCGATCGGGGAACGATTATTTTTTTTCTATATTTGGTTCAAAATCGGTTAATTAACCGAAATAACTGAAATTATTAAATATTATATATATTAAATATATATTTTAAGCTAAAATCCATTAAAAATTAAGATTCAATTACTTTTTAACCACACTATACTCATTAAATTATTATTACCTAATTAAATTTTAACCCAAATTAAAAAAATATTGCTATTATTCAAATTAATTTAATTAGAAAAATTATACAAAAAATTGGTTAATTCGATTAACCGACCGAAATAACCAAACTTTATTCGGTTCGGTTAATATTTTAAAAAAAATGGTTCGGTTAACGATTAAAGAAAAAAATCGGTTAATTTGATTAATGGTAATTCGGTTCGGTCGGTGACCGTTTTAATAGTTTGAACACCTCTAGTATTGATAATATATGTATGAGGGTGGGCAAGTCACCTAAAGTGGTGATATATCATGTATCATATCATTCAAAGTAATAATGTGACACATCATAGATTAAATATATGTAAAATTGATACATAAAAAATATATTAATTATTAACTAATTGTTAGTTAACTAGAGGTGGCAAACACGTCATTCAGATCGGGTTTGGATCGAGTCATTTCGGGTCAGGTAAATTTGGGTCTAGATTAAATTCGATTTAATTTTGTTCGGATCGGATTGGATCTGGTTCGGATCTAGTTCGGGTGTACGGTGAATCATATCATGTCGAGTTAATTTTCGGGTTGGGTGATTATTGGATCAGTTGTTTTCCAGTTTGGATCAATATTGGATCGATCGATTTTTGGATCAGATCAATATCGGGTTGGGTTAATACCGGATCGATTGATTTTTGGGTCAAGTTAATACCAGATCGATTAGATTTCAAGTCGGGTCAATATCAGATCGATTGATTTTCGGTTTATGTCAACCTTTAGATCAGGTCAATTCACGTTGAATTGGTTGAATCTAATAAAAATCAAGTATATATAGAATAATTGATATATACTTGTAAAAATATGGCTTCTTATTTGTTAATTTTATCATTTAGGCTTAATTTGAATTCTCAATTGTTCAATATTTTGAATTAAACCATCATTTAGAGGACAAATCAATAACTTGACATAAATACGATATTATAATATGTGAAAAAAGGCTTGATTTACATTAAAAAAAAAAGGATCAATTTCTTTCTTTTTCAACCTTTCTCTATTGACAAAAACGTAACTTAAATCGAGATGATAGATTAGAAAATGTTGTTCTTCGATAACTTGACATAAATACGATCTTATAATATGTGTTAAAATTTGTTATTAAAATTTTATATTAATATCGTATGAAAAGTTTATAATGAGAACTATAATGAGAACATGATAATCAAATTTGATCCGATACCCCACCCGAACCATACCTGATCCAAAATTATCGATCCAAAATATTTTATATTAAATTTTAAATAATAATATATAAATTTTTTTGTTAAGTTTATTCGCATCAAAAGTATTAATTTTGTGGCTATACTTACTAGAAAGTAGTTGTAAGTAACGGAACTTCAGTTTTGGGTCGGTTAAGAACTTATTAGTCCAACCAATAAGTTGATTACTTGTTAGGTTGATTTGCTAAATTTGTTACAAAGGCCTGTATATTTGATGTACTGGGCTTAGACTCGTTAGGCTTATTTTGCATCAATGAAAAGAAATGTTTGCTATTTGTTAAAACTCGTTGAGAAATCCTAAATTATTGTCGCTCTCATCCTCGTCTCCCACATGATAAGTTATGTTCACCTTTCCGATATCACTGCAACTCTAACCATTGCTACTATGTATAGAAGGATGTAAATTTGAGCATATTTAAGTACTGAAAAATCATTAAAACAAATTAATTTATAGGTTAAAAGAAGAGTACTTAATTATGGCAAACTTTAGATGTTCTAACAAAAAAAATAACGAGAACCGAACAGAGCAAAAGGATTTTCGTAGAACCAAGAAGAAATGGCAGGAAATGAACTAGTTGTGAATTATTAGAAATGGATGAGAAAATAAAAATTACAAAATGGGAATGAAAAAGAAAGAAAAGCATATCCTAAAAACAAATATGGTCCAAGATCCAAATAGAAATAAAGAGATGAAAATTACAAGAAACTCAAACTTTCCACAAAGAATACACAAAGCAAATGTGGCAGAGTAAAACCACAGCAGCCCGATGGAGTAAAATGAATACAGTAATATCGCATGTGAGACTTCAGAAATAAATTAATAAAATAAAGCAGAGCATCAAATCTAAATCTCTCCCAGATCTAGAAGATCAAAGCACTGGCTGCCCATCCCAACGCCAATCCTCCTATTATATTCTGCGCGCTCTTGATTGCCTCTGCTCCACTCTGCAATTTTGTTATCAATTTACACAAAATTAGTATTGCAGGTACCATTCATCGTCTTCGTGTATCATATGATTTCGTTGACTCATTTGGTTGGAGCCGAAACGAGATCAACCCTCCATTTTGAGCCATAGTTCAGATTCTAAATTATAAGCTTCATTGGAAGAAACCTAAGTATAGATTTGAGTCGCAGTTACAAAATTACGTCGTGTAGCTAGTCTAAACTTTCAGATCTGGTGAAGCGCATTGTGGTGTGATAACTTATAAGCCAAACAGAATGAAATGTGAGAAAAGAGAGTGAAATGTACCTCATCCGCAGCGACGGAAGGGCCTGGAGAGGAAGCGTCGAGGCTAGGTCCGGGAGCTCCGGTAGGTGGAGCTGGAGGTCCAAGTAGATCAGGTGAAGGAGCGGGAGAATGATGTTTCTTAGACTTCTTCTTGCTCTTACTCTTGCTTGGAGCTGGTGCGGGAACCTCAGCAGTGGTTGGTGCCGCAGCGGGGGGAGAGGTGGAGCTCTCCGGAGGAGTTGTCGGTGCAGCGGCGGGTGGAGATTTGGCTGGAGGAGAGCTCACAGGGACTGGAGCCGGAGGAGAACTTTCTGGTGTAGCAGCCGGTGGTGAAGAAGCCGGAGCAGATTTAGATGGAGATGGAGCCGTTGCGGACTTTACCGGAGCTGGAGCCGTTGCGGACTTCGCCGGAGCTGCAGCCGGTGGTGACGAAGCAGGTTGTGAAGAAGTTGGTGGAGAAGTAGGAGCAGCGGTTGGAGCTGGGGTTTCAGGTTTACTCACTGGAGCAGTGGCGGGAGCCGTGGCAGGCGTAGCCGCTGCCGGTGGAGCTTTAGTGGGAGCGACCCCAGGAGCTTGGGCGCCGACACCAGCTACCACAATGCAAATTAACAGAACGAGTAACGCGCTTCCGCGATGCATCTCTCTCTTAATTTTTCTTTCTTTGTTTGAGTGTAGAGACTGAAGTGAATAATGAAGAAAAAAAGTGGCACAGAGAGTATAAATAATTGAAAATGAATCGCGACGATCGCATTCAAGATTAAACGGATTGGTTTATACAGATCTGGACCGCAACAAAATAATACTCCACCAATCACATGGGCCGGATATAGCCGTTGGATGAAGGATACCGGGGACCACAAGCATCAAACATTAAAACAAGGCTACATGTGCCTTGTGTCTATTGAACTATTTTTTCCTATTTTTCTAATGTAATAATTGTGTTAATTCTTAGGATAGATATATCTATTTGGTACCAAATTTTGCCATTTTATGTGTAAACTGTAATAATATTTTTGGATAAATTATTCGTCAGGCAACTAAACTGTTATTCATTTTATTTTTTTTATCATAATTTCAAAATTTTATCAGATTATTTAATTGTTAATCAAGTAAGTCATCATTAATATTTAATATAAATGTTGATGTAATAATTAACAAAATTAAAATGTTACGAGGGTTAAAACGTGGATTTTGTGGATATAACGCACACACCTAACGAGCTAAAAACAGTTGTCTTATTTTAATTTCTGATTTAAAAAAAATAAAAATATTTTAAACTCTCGGGTTACTAATTTATTATATTTTCACTCTAATTAATTTGATGACTTGTCACATTAATAAAAAATTGATTTTAAGTTCGACTTTTAAACTTTTAAAAGTTTATTTTATTCACCCTCTTCAAAAAAAACTAAACCTCTTTATCCAAAAAAAATCCTGTAATTCTAATCCTCATTCTTGTTGCTACATACATCATCGTCAGCCATAGATTATCAAGACCATTACAGCGGGCTAACCTCCATATCTAAGTTGGACGACAATTGAACTGTTGGGAAGGGTAAATAAGGAGAGGTATAATAGAAAAGGGTTGAAGGGGATGTGATAGCCTTAAAATTCAAGGTTTTGGCTCAATGGATGTCGGATGATGACGAGCAGAGGGGGTTGTTGGTTTTGATACCGAAGGGAGAACGGTGGTGTACGACATGGTGAAAAGAGGGTGTCAAGGGCTTTTTCGACATCAGCTTGCGAAACAAAAATGGCAAAGCATGGTGTGGTGAAATATAGGGTGTCGAGGCTTTTTTTAGCAACAGCTTGTGAAATATGGGTGATATTTAAAGATTAATTCTGATTGTCGGAGGTCTTTCATGGAAGTTGTTATCAATCTGTAGTTGGGGCAACCTACTATCTTATCTCCCCCTCATTCCATTACATATGGGAATAGAGTCACCTAATTTTTAATTTAAGGATTAAATTTAAATTTAATTATTTTTTAGCTTGTTAAGTTATCAAATTAATATGTGCTAATGGTCAATGATCAAAATAAGAGATCCATAATATAAGTGATCAAACTATTACGTTTTAAAAAAATAATGATTAAAATATGATATATAAAAAACAAAAGGAACCATATGTATAATTTAACCTCAATTAAAACATTTTTTGACGACTTTTATAACGTTAAATATTTTACAAATATCATAACGTGGCGATCGGCGGAGTCTGAACTGGGGACCCACTTGGAAGACAACTTATTATTGCATGTGATCTGTTGACAGGCTCTAAATTATGACGGGGAAAACCAATATATTAGTTTTTTTTTTGGTCTTGTTCTTTTGTTTGCTGTAAATGGAGACAGCTGGATGTGCAGTGTGGTAGGGTCAAATTGGGGAACGTGACAAACAAATAGGAGGCGGCCACATGAGCAGGTAACGGCAATAATTTTGGGGTAGGCTGTTACGGTCCGTACAATAGTCGGTGAAATTTATAAGGGATGATGATCTGGCAATTTATATATCTTTTCTATTAGGTTTGTATTTAATTTATTTTATATTAGATTCTGTTTTACTTAAAATGAAGATAAAATTATTTTATTATTAAAATATTAAAAATCACATCTAACAAACGTTGTATAAAAGTTATTTATTTTATTTGATTCAAGGTTCGAAATTAAAATAACAATATTCCTTCATTATTTGGAAATACCGATAGGGTTTAAAGACTGAAGAAATGTAATTTTTTTTTTGCAATTAATATGGGTTGGGGACTTGGGGTAGCTTATAAGCTAAGTCTAATGAAAGAAGGGACACCCTATATTTGTCATTAACCTTGTAGGATACTTTATTATTAATCTTGAGTATTTGATGATTCCATGATTGTTCATGATTAGGTTAGATATAGACCGATGTATGTCGAGCTTAAACAACCCAACATATCTACTTAATCTTCCAATGTATAGATCCATCAGACAATATAAACTATTATTATTGAGTTTCGTGGATGAATTTGAGATAAAAATTATTTTTAATTGGTTCACGGAATGTAAGATTATATTTAGAAACAATATCACTATAACATGATATTACTTGACACATTACTAAAAATATTACATTATCTTTTTTTTTAGAAAAATGTAAGATACATCATTTAATTAAAGGAATATAAGATGAAGAAAAATATATTTTATTAAATTATCCTTAAGATATATTTTCTTATGATGACCCGTTAAATCTCAAGTCAACACTCAAAGCTGACCCGAACTAATATATAATGAATTTAAATAATGGGTGCGATAATTAGGGCTGTAAATGAGACGAGACAGATCGTGAGCTACTCGAGATCGACTCGGTCAAGGCTCGATAAATACTCAGATCGAATGGACTCGATCTCGACTCGAATTCTTAACGAGCCGAAACGAGCTACTTGATACTCGACTCGAAAAGCTCGTGAGTAGCTCGAAAATATAATATATTAAGATTTTATTTTTTTAAAATAAATTATTAATAATATTAACATTTGTGTTGATTTTTTTAAAAAAATATAATAAGGCTTTCATGTATTTAAGGTTCATGTTCGAGTTTGAGTTTGAGGATTCAATCTTATTAAGTTTAAGATTTTTTTTTTCATTTCGAGCATTTTCGAGCTGCTCACGAGCTTCAGTTCAGGACTTCAAGTTCGAGTCGAGCTTAAAAATTTTAAGCTCGCGAGTTTTCGAGTCGAGCTTCATTTCAGAGTTTTCGAGTCGAGTCGAACTCAGCAATACTCGAGCTCGACTCGGCTCGTTTACACCTCTAGCGATAATTATGAAGTTGGGCTGAGTTAGTATTGGGCTTAAGCCTAAAAAGAGAGAATAGGGGATATCTTTGTAGTAGAGAGCAACTATGGAGTACCTAGAAGACAAATTGCCCTTCATTAAATTGGGAAAAAGAAATCTAGAATGAGCTTTTATATGTGTGGGTGCCGTGTGTTTTTGGAAAAGAGAAGAATCTTGTCTTGGACTCCTAATCTAGAATGACCTACGAGGTAATAACCTAGAAATATTTTAATAATATTATTATAATACTTAACTAACAAATATTATTTAAGTGTTAAATAATTTGATATTGTTTAAGTAATATTTTAAATTTAATTTTTTATACACACAGAAAATTTATGTTGAGAGATGCACATAAATCGATTTAAATTAGTCAAAATAAATGCTTAAAATCGGGAGAGCAATAAAAAAAACTATTATTTTGATATCTTCTATCATTTTTATGATATGAATGAATAAATATATTTTTATACAAAATATTTTTAATAAATAATTATTGATAGAGTCAATAAAATTTTATATAAGTTATCTAATATCGTATTTAATTTTATATTATACGTTTTAGTTGTTTCTTCTTAAGATATTTATATAAAAATATATGAAAAATAAAAGCATCCTTATTTTTTTTTGTTTAGGTTAAGGGTGGCTCCCATAGTACAAGGCCATGACATACTTAAGATCGAATTAATATTTACATAGAAATTTACAGATTGCCCATCAAGAGTGACGGTGGTAGGATTCGAACTTGACCTTACAAACTCAAATTCATGAATCTCAACCACTTGTTCCAACACTCATCGGCAAAAACTTCCTTATTTTAGAGGTGACAATCAAGCATATTTGACAGAATTTAGGTCAAACATTTTACGTTTTAAGTTCTTTTAGATTCAAATCATTTCGAATTGAGATTATTCGAGTTCAAATTATTACTTTGCTAGTATTTTTTTGTAGACTTTGTTTTAGTTTGTAATATAATAATTTTGATTATAAAATACGAAGAGGATCATAATGATAAGGGGCGTAACTAGAAATTTATTATAGCGAGGGTTAAAGTTTTTTATTTTTTATAAATACATTTTTTTAATTGAGAGTCTGGTAAATTTTTTTATTTATTTTTCATATATATATATTAATATTAATTATTACTTAAAAAAATAATTGGCCGGATGTTCCGCCACTGCTAATGGTAGAGAAAACGTTTGACTTAAGTTTAAAGCAATTTCATCCAAATTACGCATATTTTTTTTTTTGATCAAAATAGTATCTATAAAGATTTCATTTCTCAAAATGATATCAATTTTGGCCGGCAAAAGTGCCCAAATAAGGATGTAGGAATGTTTAATTCCCAATTTAATGTACTCTGATTAATTCTTGGTCTAGGGTGTTTTATATAGGATTTTGGGACCTCTCGACGTTTTCAGGGTTGAACTAGATTTCTCGACGTCTTTAGGGTGAATTTCATTGTTGAAATCCCGATGTCTTTAGCAGAAAAAAAGTTGGCATTTTTATATAAATATTACCTTAACATAAATTAATTACTTGTTAGACACTATTTAAGAATATTTTACGGATCTAGTAAAACTTTAAATATTTTCTATAAAATCATTCTTGCATTAAATTACACAATACAATTGTATCTACCAATTACCACTTTACACTTTCTGATGCGTTTTTGACCATTTTAAAATCCTATACGTATAGTATATTCTAGGATTTTGGAAAAAAAATTACAGAAAGATGTGACACATTCACCGCATAGAATTTTGAAAAATAAATATTAGTTATAAAACTTTTATAAAATTTTATAAATATTTTTCAAAATCCTATACGATGCATGTATTGCGCCTCTCTACAAAATTATTTTCAAAATGATGATGATGATAATGATCCGTAATATTTTA